TGTCTGTGTGTGTCTGTGTGTGTCTGTGTGTGTCTGTGTGTGTCTGTCTCTGTGTCTGTCTCTGTGTCTGTCTCTGTGTCTGTCTCTGTGTCTGTCTCTGTGTCTGTCTGTGTGTCTGTCTGTGTGTCTGTCTCTGTGTCTGTCTCTGTGTCTGTGTGTCTGTCTCTGTGTCTGTGTGTCTGTCTCTGTGTCTGTGTGTCTGTCTCTGTGTCTGTGTGTCAGTGAAGGTGGCACAGGGCAGTTTGAGAAATCCCCGGGGGTGAAGATTTAATATCTAACTTGTTACCCGTGTGTCGTGGTTACCGCCATGAGAAAGGAATGGATTATATACCATGTTGCAGATTAAATAGATAAGAATGTAAAAGAAGTTGATGTTGATGTTGATGCATGGTTTCCGGTAATGTCACCAGTCTCTCCTTCACTTACATTTTAAGGTAGGTGCCAGAATGGAAACTTAATATTAAAAGGAAGTAATGACATATGATCTGAAGACTAGATCCAGAAGTCGCTGTTCCTTGTATTAATATTTGACTTTTTTTTATTTCAGTTTTCCAACCACGTTTTCTTCCAACAACAATCAGACAGCTTCGGCTTCCCTTTCACCAAGTGTTGTGCCAAGTTCTGCATCTTCCGTCCCACTATGCATACCGAACTGTCCAGTACCTGGTAGTAATGATTATAAAGTGCCACCCAGTGGCACCAGAAGGGCACGGGTGCTCTACGATTACGATGCTGCAGACAGTAATGAGTTGTCACTTCTGGCTGATGAGGTATGTAACAAAGTGCCCAAATGTTTGTTCAAAAAGAAATGTTTGTCCATTGTTTATAGGTATCCCCCTGAATTAGCTAAAGAGGCACAATAATCAAATTCACAGTATTCCTCTGGTCTGACTGGGAGGTTATGCAAAGAGATGTATCCTCTTTGAGAATCTAGAGCTAGGTAACACTATTACAAAATAGGGGCTTGCACAATGTATACAGATGAAGAGAAATGTTTTTTGCAGAAGTTTGTGTGTATTTGGAACTCTTCCTTAAAAGGTGGTAGAATAAGAGTCTTTGAATTTTTTTTTAAGGCTGTAGTAGACATTTTCTTGGTAAGTAAGGGAATGAAAGGCTGTCCTGAGTAGGCAGGAATGTGAAGTATTCAGATCAGCCATGAACTTATTGAATGGTGATGCGGATTCAAGTGGCCTACTCCTCCTATGTCCCCTGTATTCAACACTTGTGTTCATGAATCCCCACTGTCACATTTAGTAGGGGTTTCTGGGGTTCCTTTATCTTAGTGTTTTTGTTTTTAACACATCACTTGTGCCATAGAGAGAATTAAGTTGGGTCTTTTGTATTTCCGAGTGTCGATTATTCATTGGAAATTGGATTTTGACCTGTTCCTTTATTCCTCTTTCTAATGTGAGGATGCTGAGATCATTTTTGGCGCTCACTCTATTCCAAGGCTTCTCAGGTCTTGTTGCTTTGTGTGGATCAGCTGCTTAATGTCTTACTCAGCTGAAGCTTCAAGGAGCTAAGTGATTTAAATTGATCAAACTTGTTTGTCCATATTGTGTGTCTATTAATCGAGATTGGTGAGCAATCCAAATATGAAGTTTGCTTTTCCAGAAGAAAAATTACTAAAATAATATCAGAGGCCAAGAGGTAATTAACAGTACAATGTAGATGAAATTGATGAAGCTGTTCTTAATTGGATGTTCCTTGGACTTAATTTTTGCGACAAATAGCTCCCCAATTTCTTTCTCTTCTGTTTTAACCTTACTGTGAGCTTTTATTAGAGCTAATTTGAGAATTCCCATGGAATGCTATCAATTTCACTTCAATTTTGTGCATTTGAGCTATTTTCTTTAATTAAACACTCAAAGCCACACTAAAGAAGTACCCCAGTTACCTGCTTTGTATAGTTAAGTGTAGTGTAGAATAAAAGTTGTGGTTAACAGCATATTCATTTTCTGAGATCTGAGTGCTTGTAACTGAAGTAATGGGGACGATTCAATATTTAAGTGATACTTCAACATAAGCTGATGTACACACAATTGCATTTATAGTTTGCATGCTGAAGAGCAAAGACAATTTGAACCTAATTATTGATCTAGCCTGTTACTGCACTTCCGACTTTAAAAGCATGTGTATATTAGGTACTTGAACTGAAATTTTGCCCATTTCCAGTAAACTGCTATTGCATTCCAAAACACTTGTTACACTTCCAGTTGGACAGTTCAGTAGTTCAGAATCCTAATTTTGAAGAGCTACATCTTAAGTGTGTCCTCACTTGTCTTGCCCTGTCCCCTTTTCACTTAAGTACTGCCAGCACCACCTTCTCAAGGGATGGCCTTGACATTGCTACTTGTATCCCTAGAAGGAATATTAAAACTAAATCCCCTCACTGTGTAATACCTAAACTTTGGAGTCCAGCTTTTTGGCGATCTTGCTCTGGTACAGCACTGAAAACTTTATAGTGCTTTTAGCATGGAAAATGGACTGAATCGGGCAGGAAATAAAAATGAGGGGAGAAATAGAACAATGACTGCTAAGCCATGGAAGGATACTTCAAGAAATAAGCAAGGCAGAGGCAGAGAGATTTAGAGATGGTGTTAAAGAGAGTAGTACCAAAACAGGTGAAGGTCTATTATAGCCATGGCCCAAAGGGAAATGGGAATGTATGGAAAACCAGAGTCTGAAGATGTAAGCGTGCCGGAGTGATAAACAACAGGGAGAAGTTCCAGGAATAACAAGTTGTTGGAGTGATTTGAGAAGAGGAATTTGAAGAAGGCTAGTTTGCCAAAATTGCAGTTTGGTAAGAGTAAATGTGGGTCCTTGAGGGTCAGAGTGATTGAGTGAGCAAGACAGAAAAGCAACCTGTGAGCTTTGAAGCTGATAGAGTGTGAAGAAAGAGAACCCCGTGAAGATGGCGTTAAAGAATTTGAGCTGGTGATGAGTGAATAAGCATTGTGGTGTTGTAGAAGCAAATGTGAGCTGGATCTGGGCGTTAGTTATAATGATAGATTTAGGATGTGCAGTCTAAAGGTCAGCATTAGCTCACCATGATCTGGTTCTACTTGGCCAAGAGGCTGAGTCGCGATGGAACTATTGGTTGCTTGTATGATATATTGCTCTTGAGAGGATGCAGTGAGGATTCTGGTGCATGATCCAAATAGTTTGAAACTGAACCCATTCTTTCAAGTATCTTTTTTGCTGCCATCAGTGCTTCATAAGAATTTGTAACAATATATGCACTCTCTCATAGAGCATGTCCTGACATTTACAGTAGCATATAGTTCTAATTTCTGTCGTGTAGTTTAGTTGTTTCTCTCTGTTTGCTCCCTCCTTTCCTCTTCAATCATCTATCTTCCACTCATTTTCCGTTATTTCCATTTTCCACACCTGTCCGTTTCTCCTTCTGCCCCCTCCTTTGCTACAACTAGTAATAGATCTGGTTTCTGTTTCAGGTAATAACAGTTTATAGTCTGCCAGGAATGGACTCTGATTGGTTAATGGGTGAAAGAGGAAATCAGAAAGGAAAAGTCCCCATTACGTATTTGGAGCTGCTAAATTGAGTATGTGACAACCTGAGCCTTTGATTCTGGTTGTAATTGCAATATATTTAATTACAGCTAACTTTGTATAAAGCAGTTTATGAAATGTCTTCCATGCAACGTGCCTCTGAAATGTTAGGGATCAATTGAATTCTGTGAATGGCAAAAGTTGCATGTTGCACTCGGCAGCACTCATTAAAGCAAGTATATAAACCCTTGCTTTTGAAAACTTTGAATATTTTTGTGCCATGGATATTATTTGCTCAACAATAACAGCTTCATTTTCTATTTAATATTTCATTAAAATAACTTTTCGTACTTTAGTGGTTTAAAATGCATTTCTTAATTAAACCAACTTGAATACAATGTCCCAGTATTTCTAAAATTTTATTATCAGAAACACGGAATTTAGCTTATAAATTACATGCGCTGGTCTAAATGTTAAAATTAATGTACAGCATTGCCAAAATAAAATAAATTGTGAAAAATCTTGTTTGTCTGTCTGTTTTGGAACCATGTGCATATATACACTGATGTAGTGTGCTGTTGGTGAACTTGTGAGACTGTATGTGATTTAGATGGAAATATTCAGTAGACCACATGAGATTTCACCCACATTGCCATCTTCTGCCCTTTGCTTTCTCGCATAGGAAACCTCTTTCAGTATGTGACTGGCTGGCTCATTTTAAGAGGGCACACTGTGATGTTTTTCTCTAGTTGGATCCACTGACCAAGTTGTTGACTGTGGCTCCAGAGATGTGCTGCTATTAGCTTACATATTTGACCTTGCAATTGTCACTTCTGCAAGCATCAGCAGACATGGAGAGCCTTTCCACATTAATGTTTCAGATTTCACTTGCTAGCAATGCACCTGCCAAAAAGAGAAGCGATCTTTCTTTCAAACTTTAAGCTCCAGGATCAAAACATTACATTCAACATCGAATTTTTTTTAGAAGAAAGCTAGGAATGTGCTGTTCTCTGGAGTCATCACTGCTGCCTCTGGTCGTTTCAAAACCTTGTGATGGATAGGAGGTAACTTGGGATTGCTGGGGTCTGTGGTCAATGATACTCAAAATAGTGTCAAGCCTGAAGACACTAAAACCCAGTATCAGAAGAAGATGCGATGTGATGGCTGGACACAAGTTTAACGTCAGATTATTTTGATTCCTCAAATTTGTTTTCAGTGGCGCATCAGTTTGTGTTGTAATTTAATAGGTTTTAAACATAAACTTTTTTTTCCTTTGGCAACACTTTCCAAACCCACTACCTCTACCATTTCGAAAGACAAGGGCAGCAGATACCCAAGCGTGGCATGGACCTCTGCCTGCCATCCTTTCATTGTTGTCAAAATTCTGGAACTCCTTAACAGCACTGTATGTACCTACTCCTCATGGATTGCAGTGGTTTAACGAGAGAGCCACCATTACATCAGTGACCACTTGAGGATGGGCAGAAAATGTTGGCTTAGCCAGTGAGACACGCACCCCATTGATAAAAATGTTAGAAGCAAATTCATTCCCAGCTTAACTGCAAATTTTTGATTGTTTCCCTCCAATCAGACTTCCTTGGAGTACCAAAACGATACTTATCAAAGGCACAAATTGCATTCTGTGATTGTGACAACACCCTTTTTGACTTGCGTACAATCATCAATGAGGTCATTGACCTTGTTGTAGCCTATTTATACCTCCTCAATCGCCCCATTGGTTTCAACATTCTATCCTCATGAAACGTCAGGCGGCTACACCAAGTCCCATTCTGTTATCTTCCCTGTGCTCACTGAGCTGCATTGTCTCCTGGTCAGGAATGGGTTGATCTTGAAATTTTCATCCTTATTTTCATAACCTTTTTTAACCTTATCCCTCATTATGGCTGTAAATTCCTCGAGCCCCACAACTCTGCGATATCTCCTCCAATTCTGATCTCCTGAGCATTGTGGATTTCAATTGCTTTTGCCTTCAGTTGCCTCAGCCCCAAGTTCTGGAATGCTGTCTCTGCAGTCCTCCACCTTTTTTACGTTGCTTTCCATTTCTGAGGCACTCTCCAGTCTATTACTTCAACCAAGTTTTTAATTCATCTTGGCTAATATTTCCTTATGTTGCTCAGTGCCATATTTTGTCTATGTGAAGGATGATTACATTCTCTTTAATGTAAGAGATGGTGTAGTTGTTACATTAATTCTGAAGAGTCACATTGGACTTAACATTAACTGTTTGTCTCGCCACAGATGCTGCCAGGCCTGCTGAGTTTCTCCAGTACCTTTTGTTTCATATTTCCAATGTCTGCAATATTTTGCTTTTAGTTTTTACTCTGTTACTCTTCAGCTCTCATTACAGCCTCCTCCAGTCAAATAGTGAAGGACATAGTTATGACAGTTTTAGGTGCACCAATGCCAGAAGAGCAAATTATCTGACAGGACCTGATGTAATTCTGGAAAAAATAATGAAATTTGCTGTAAGAGTTTCATCATCTTAACTGCTCAAACACTCCACTGACAGATGTCAAACTACCACAACTGTGCGCCCCGCCCCCCCTCGACTAAATACTTAATTGTGTTCTCTCAGCACTTTCCCTACTCTACCTGAGAATTGAATAATTTCAAGTGATTGTTAGATCTGTGCTTTCTAAACTCTTGAATTTTATTATAAGTAGAAAGGGGGGTTCTTTGCATTCTGGCAGTATCTGTGGGAGAATAGTTAACATTTCGGCTCATTTGATTTGAGTATTGTCATGTGTACCTAGGTACAGTGAAAAGTTTTGTTTTGCGTGCAGTACAGGCAGATCATACCATGCAAAATGCATAAAAGTCTTAAAGCAAGGAATACAATTTTACAGCTGCAGATGATCAGGTGCACAGAGTGAGATCAACATTAAATTTTAAAATTTGAGATATTTTGGATGGTGTAAACCTGCTTAAAACCCACAGTTCAGTCTTTTATTTAGTCAAGTGGGAGATGTCGTCTGATCACTTTGGCAACACATTGGTAAGTTTCGGGTTCTCTGGGGTATGTCTGAGATTTTGTTCCTCTAATCCTGGTGCAGCTAAATGAATACTAATGTTAGTGGTAAATGTTAATACTAAATTATCAGTTATCATAAAAGACATTACTGAGCCAAAGGGTTTTTTGGGGGGGAAAAATCTGCCATCCTTATCTGGGATAATGTCTGAATATGTTTGACTTCTAAATTGCATTAAATGTGCTTGGAGGATGGCTAACAAATGCTGTATGCCCCATCCCATGAAAGAATTTATTTTGTAAAAACGTAGGGTTAAGTTACAGATCAGCCATAATATGAATGGTCCTAGTCATGTGAGGAGCTGTAGGGAAGGAAAGAGATCAGATTCCAGAACTGTGGGAAAGTTACTGTGCAGAAATAGTCCATTCAGTACATTGTGTCAGCTTGCCACCTATTCTAATCCCAATTACTGGCACTTGGTCCATAATCTTGCAGGTTACAGCACTTAAGGTGCAAAGCAAGGTTCGTTTTAAGTGACGGGAAATTCTGACCCTACACCACAACTGGACAGTTCCAGGTGAAATGATTTTTGTGGAGTGCGTCAGGAATACCTCAGTCCACAGCTTTCTGACTCCGAGGCAAGAGTGCTGGCAACTGAACCGAGGCTGAGACCGATATGAAATTGATCAAGGAACAGTAAGGTGACTTTGAAGAAAAAACATACACTCTACCAATAGACTGCTATCAATTGCAAGATACATTGCAGAAACTCACCAAGGCTCTTAGCCAACACCTTCCAAACACACAACAGCTGCCATCTAGAAGGATAAGGGTGTCTGAGGTGGATGAATTTAGTTATGTAAAGGTTTCAAAGGGACGAGGGCCAAAGGCAGGTATATGGAGTTAGGCCACAGATCAGCCATTGAATGGTAGAATGGGCTCAAAAGGCTAAATGGCCTACTGCTGTTTCTAGATGTACGGGAGCACCACTACCTGCAAGTTATCATCCAAGCCACTTACATTTCTCACTTAGGAATATATTGCTGTCCTTTCAGTGCTGCTGGGTAAAAAAATCCTGGCACCCTGTCCCTGACAGTATTGTGGGTCTAACATCAGCGCACAGCCTGCAGACCTTCAAGAAGGCAGCTCATCATCATCGAGGGCAACTAGGGATTGCAACAAAAGCCTTAGGCGATCTAACAATTGGACCAATGGAATGTGATATCCACATTTTAAACAGAACTACTGTGTACATGTCCTTTTATGTTCATATTGACTCAACTGCGGATGATAATGGAAAGCTTCATGTCTAACGTGTGCTGAACTCACTTCCAACGCTTGAAATGGAGTTAACTAACTAAATCAGGGTTACTGTAGCATATGACTGACTACAGAAACTTTCATGTTGAACTTTATTAGAAATTCCCACGTTATTTATGCAGTAGTCAAAATGATGAACTTTTCCCTCCTTCCTGAACTAAGGTGCATTGTGCCATTAATATAAAAGTTTTTCTTTATTAAATCAATCAATTTGGAATTGGGGGCTTGGACCCAGACCTTTCAGCCCAGGGGCAGGGCTGTTACCATCAAATTGAGAGCCCCAAGACTAACAGAATAGACTGGAATCTATTGATTGGTGTGCTATTATTTCATTGCTGTTGTTGACCTTGATTGCAGGGAAATGTTACCGTGAGACAATTCTGTAAATGTGTAGGCTTCCTGCCTCGGGTAGGGACATACCAGTGTGCTACAAGACCTTTGAATTTCCCTGTTTTCATTGGATTGAAAGAAATTGAGGTAGAATAAATGGTCCCAGCTTGAGTCCATTTTGGAAACATCAGCCTCCAGGCTATTGCAGGCTTTTTATTAAGTTATGACAGATCCTGCTGCACCAGTTACAGTCACCAGATGGTAGTGCTAATAATGAAATAGATCAAGGCCCCAGTGTGCATTAGCGATGGAAGATTTTTTTTTTAAGTCAAGTCAGAACACCTAGGGAACACTTAAAAGAAGGGTCTTTTTTGGTCAGTGGTCTGGGTGCAGAATATATCAGAGACAAACTGTTTTCAGCTGAGTGCAGAACCAGGCTGAGGTGTGCGCAGCTGCTAACCCTTGTACAGAGGAAGATAATTAAGGATGACCAGCTGGGTAAACGGGCCCTTTAATTTGGGTTTTGGAGTTTGTATACATTGACCACTGACATCAAAATGTCACATTATGTGCAGTAGGTCACCAAACAGTAGTATCTATTTAAATGTTAATCATTTCCAATGCCAGTAAGTTGCATTGCAAAACCAAACCTCTACTAAAAGAGATTACTGCAGAATGCAAGAGGGAAGAGGAGAAATCTCTTTCAAAGGAGCGAGGCTGGAATTGTGCCATTCTGGAGAGCATCGATCTTGACCTGTTTAAGACACAGTCAAGGGGCTGTCACTTCTTTTGACAAAATAGATTACAGCAAAACAGGAGAATTCTTGAGGATAAGGCACTTATGTAGGCATTGAGAATATTGCTTGAATGCAGAATTGGTAAATG